CTCTCTGACCCTCCCCTGCTCACGCTGTCTCTCTCTCTCTCCTAGAAATAAATAAAACATTAAAAAAAATTTTTTTTAATTACTTCAAAACAAATAAATAAATGTGTGCTACTAAATGGCGCCACTAGAGGTCAGCAGGTACATCTTTTCCCAATATAAAATTTCTTTCCTGTTTTTTACTGATTAAAAACGCAGTACAACCATAGGATGCCTGGGTGGCTCTGCTGGTAGAGCATCCAACCCTTGATTTCGGCTCAGGTCAAGAGCCCACGAGTGTGGGATTGAGCCCCATGTCAGGCTGTGGAACCTGCTTGGAATTTTCTCTCTGTCCCTCTCCTAAACTCACTTGCTCTCTCTGAAACAATTTTTTTTTAATTTTTTTAAAAAAGTGGGGCTCCTGTCAGGCTCATTCAGTTAAGCATCTGACTTTGGCTCAAGTCAAGATCTAATGGTTTGTGAGTTCGAACCCCCAATCAAGCTCTGTGCTGAAAGCTTGGAGCCTGAAGCCTGCTTCAAATTCTGTGTGTGTGTCTCTCTCTCTGCCCCTCAACCGTCTTGCACTCTCTCTCTCAAAAATAAACATTAGGGGCGCCTGGGTGGCTTAGTCGGTTAGGCGTCCGACTTTCGCTTAGGTCATGATCTCGCGGTTCGTGGGTTCGAGCCCCGCGTCGGGCTCTGTGCTGACTGCCAGCTCGGAGCCTGGAGCCTGTTTCAGTCTGTGACTCCCTCTCTCTCTGACCCTCCCCTGCTCACGCTGTCTCTCTCTCTCCTAGAAATAAATAAAAAACATTTAAAAAAAATTAAAAAAAAAAATAAACATTAAAAAATGTTTTTTAAAGTAATACAACCTAACATACATGTATAAATTATAGGTATCTACCAAACTGTTATTAGCATTTACCTTTGGGGAGGAGACTGGGCTGGGAAGAGCTGGGGGGTGAATTAAAAAGTTCATTTTTCAACTGTATGAACTTTCATAACTGCTTGAATTTTTAATGAAAATATATTAATATATGTATAATATTTCCTTAAAGTCAGTATGCATGTCTTCTCCAAAAACGAGTTTTGTCCATAAAATCATATATTTTGTGCATATAAACAGCCAAACACCACAGAAACAGTCCTCTCCCTATAGTCTGATAGGTAAAAATTGTATTTCATTGTTGTGATTTTAGCAAATATTTAAATACTGACATTTTTCTGATTCACGTATTTTAAGATATTCCTTTTAGAACTTAGAAAACAGATATATAGATTTTCTCCAACTATTCAAATGGTAATTCTGATCTAAGTAATCATGGTGAAATAAAGTTACAGCATAAGCAAGTATGGGTGCATGATGACATCTTCGTTATTTACATCAAACTTATGAATATTACATGAAATAAAACTAAAAGAAAGTTACAATGAGTAAAAAAAAAAAAGTAGCCACAATTACTCAGGTGATTCAAACAAAATTACTGTCTAGCTAGTGAAAGCTTGGCCCCTCCCACTGTCCAGAAGCACCTAGACTGCAGCCTTTACACAGCACTGATGTTTGAAAAGCTAACAGTAACACATCACGAGACTGGCATTTTATATCATATCGTTCTGGGTCACCTACAAAAGTTTGAAAACGAGCTGCTTTTGAAAATCTAATTTTAGTCTTGGATTATGTTCCCATAGTCCTAAAACTTTTACACAGTCAAGCAACTCAGTGAGAACCACTAAAGGCAAAGCCAACTGTATTTTCCACACATGAAACATGGATTTTTTTCCACTGGATTGTCTGGCTGAATAAATACGTAGATCATGCTGCTGTGCTTCTCTCCCTCAGCACCACTCTGTCATGACACATCCCTGCTCAAAAACCCGGTTTCTTGGGCACCCTCCTACACTGTTGGTGGGAATGTAAACTGGTACAGCCCCTCTGGAAAACAGTGTGGAGGTTCCTCAGGAAACTAACACTAGAACTCCCCTATGACCCAGCAATAGCACTGCCAGGAATTTACCCAAGGGATACAGAAATGCTGATGCATAGGAGCACACGGACCCCAATGTTCATAGCAGCACTCTCAACAATAGCTAAAACATGGAAAGAGCCTAAGTGTCCAACAACAGATGAATGGATCAAGATGTGGTTTATCTATACCATGGAATACTACATGGCAATGAGAAACAATGAAATCTGGCCATGTGTAGCAACATGGATGGACCTTGAGGGTGTTATGCTGAGCGAAATAAGTCAGGCAGAGAAGGACAAATAGCATATGTTTGCACGTATAGGAGGATTAGGAGGAACTTAACTGAGAAACAAGGGGGAGAAGAAGGGGGGAAATGGTGGGGGAAAGGGAGAGAGGCAAACCATGAGAGACTCTTGAATGCTGACAAAAACTGAGGACTGATGGATGTGGGGGGGAGGGGGGATGGGCACGGAGGAGGGCACTTGTGTGGATGAGCACTGGGTGTTATGTGGAAACTAATTTGACAATAAACTATTTGTAAAAAAAAAACCCGGTTTCTTGTCATTTTTTTTTAAATGTTTTTTTTTTTTATTTCTAGGAGAGAGAGAGAGTCATTTTCTGTCTTAATTAATTTTTTTTTAATGTTTTACTTATGTCTTAGAGAGAGAGTGAGCAGGGGAGGATCAGAGAGAGAAGGAGACACAGAATCAGAAGCAGGGTCCCAGCTCTGAGCTGTCAGCACAGAGCCCGACACAGGACTCGAACCCACGAACTGTGAGATCATGACCTGAGCCGAAGTCGGACGCTTAACTGACTGAGCCACCCAGATGCCCTGTCATTTTCTGTCTTAGCTGTACCTGTGCACTTGCATCTCTTAGGCTGAAAATGATCATTAACATGGAGTCCTTACTATGGCCACACAGCCTCATGTGTCATTAAAAATGACTTTAACGTCCTCCCACATATGGCCTTGAATCGAGTACTTTACCGTACAACAGAGAGCATGGCCATTGCTCTTAAGAAGTTCAACAGGCATGAGAAGTTTAATCACTTAAGCAGACTTTGTTGTAGTCATAAGCCACACTTGATGAAAAATGAAGCAAAGAGTTAAACAGAACTCAGCTTTTTCTGTCTGGAAAGCCTCTGACATCTGTTTTCCCAATAACTATACCAATTATTTTCTGAAAAACAAAAGGGTTATAGAAGACAAATATTAAACACAGATGTAGATGGTAAATTTAATTTCATGGACTTGTTATATTTTACTGGCTCTAACAAACATTTTTGACTAGGAGCCCTTTAAATATATTTACTCCAGACAAACATCTAAAAGAACTTCATAAATGTTCAATCCCACAAAAAAAAAAACAGTACAAAGCAATAAGAGAGTTAACTGCTATTACAAATATAATCATTTAATACTTAGCATGTTTCTACTTTTCTTTCAATCACTAGGTGGAGCACAGTAACTGCCCATTGCCATCAATTCTTACTGAACTCATTCAAAGCACATGTATATACAATTTAATTTGCCACGGTCTTCAAAGCTTTCTTTAATATAGGACTTTCTAACAATCCACATAAGATTGCTTAGCTTTGTAATCCAAACATGCTAAATGGTAATATAAATTAGACTGTAACAAAACTTATATATTGCTGTTAATAAATCTATGCTCTGAAGTCCTAGATCATTTAAATCTTAAAGATACTAACATCTCCTTAAACATTTTAATGATCTCTTTAGTGACTACCAAAGAAAAATTAAATATTAAAGAAGTGCTTTAAGAATAAAAAAAACTACTTTTCCTAAAAGGATAAACCTAAACTTTATTACTAATTGTAGCAACTGATTTTAACCTTGCAATAATCTGTTACATTTAAAATATGTTCAAACTTCCAAGACTACCACATTATAGCTGAGCTTTAACTAGTCTTATTACATTTAGATACACTGTTATGTCTTAAATTCCACACACATGCAGATCGCACCAAATTCTGTTGTAAAAATACAACTAATGGAAATATTGAATAAAGCCTTCTAACCGATGAAGAAATTAACAAACAGCTTACCTTTCAAGAAAAACTATAATAGCAAAAATTATTTTTAACATTAATAAACTTTTCATTACACAGTATTACAGATACATGTAAATTTAAGCCCATTTTAAGAAGTTGGATTTGTAAACGCCAGATATATAAACAACAGACTGCCAGGGCAGGGCAGGGAAGGGGGTGTTACTGGTTTACGGTAATACGATTCCATCTAGACTTTATCTAAATGTCTTGGCATATTTGAAATGATTGAATCTCCCCAACCCTTCAGTAAAAAATGGATTTTCACATAATATTTCACAAATATATCTGCTGTGTACCTTTATGTCCTAAAAAGAGCCTATTGATAAATATTTAAGTCTATAGCTTAAGTACAGTTTGATCAGAGAACAGATCTTCCTGAGTAAAAATGTTTTAATTTTACTATGCTACACTTGAGCTGTTGGTAAATATTTAATTAAAATACTATAACTAAACTTTTGATTATTTTGAACAATTGCTAATCATATCCACAATGTCCTACTCTCTAGCCAAAAGAGAGACTAATTTTCATGTAGGTCACATAAATTCAAAGCAGTTTAGGAGTAGCTAACATCTAACAATTGTACTAATGCAAGGCGTATGTACATTCTCGTCAATTATATAAGCATGTGTCAAATGAGTCAATAATGTTGATGTAATACCATGTTACCACATAAAGTTTCATTAGAGAACCACCAAACCACTAGATCTTAAAACCTACCAGATTAGCCATATTTGGATACAGATCTGCAAGTGCAGTGAACGTCTTTGATACAAAGGAGTTTGCCATTCTCTTATCTATATTGTAGAAAATATAACTTCAGTGCATAAATTAAATAACTGAAATAACCCATGAAAAGTTCCAAGATTTAAAAAAATCACCTAGGAAAGCCTCGGTTATTTTATTCATTCTTTGGGAAAAGTTTCTATTTTAACAGTGATATGTAAGTCAGTACAGATCAAATCTGTAAGAAACATGTTTCAAAATGTCCTTTTACAGTTTTGAATGATATACTTTGGTTGTAATTTTTAACTTTCACTTCCCAAAAACATGTAAATGGAGCAACTTTTGAGCACCCTGCAAATTTAGAGTTTCAGATAAAGATGATTCCATGGGACACTTGCAGATACTTATTAGCATAAAGCCTACTTGTAGAAATGCAGCAAACCTCTGTTGGTAAACTCCTCACATCTGTTTACACTGTGTATGGGGAGAGGTAGTGATTTTACCCTCATCTCTGGATGGTAAGCTCCATGAGGGAAGAGCTTTTCAGGAGTGTATTTTAATGCTGTCTTGCACATAAAAAGCACTCAACTAATATCAAATGAATGATATCAAAATATCAAACGGTGGCTCCCCCCATCAGTATCATCGCTGTAAGTGGTCTCAGTGTAATAACCTCTGTCAGCTGCACTAAACTGGTAGATTTGCTCAATCGTACTCATGTATTCAACACACGTAGGCTGCGCGTCTCTGAATCCTGCGAGTTGGTCCCTCACCCAGAAGCCTCAGAGAGGAGCAGTGAAAACAGGGTCAGATGTAGGGCTGGATGTGTACGGCCTCAAGGCCACTGACCCGGATCCTTGATCAGGGTAGAGGGAACAGGAGGGGGTGGTAGAAAGAGTCCGGGTCACGGTGACAATGTCACAGGTAACAGGTGTGGAGTGCCTGATCTGAGCTGGCTCTATGCTACAGACACGATACATCGTGACAATCTCTGACAGCCCCGCCGAGACCTCCCAAAGTCCCCTTCCTGAGCTCTGAACCCTCCTCCCACTTTCAAAGAGCAACCTTCTGGGGTGCCTGGCTGGGTCAGGCAGTAGAACATGTGACTCTTGGTCTCGGGGTTGTGAGTTCAAGCCCCATATTGGGTATAGAGATTACTTTAAAAAAAATAAAAAGTCAAACTGTCAATGAAAGACGATTTCTAAAAATAAAATCATTGGGGTTTCTGAGTGGCTCAGTTGGTTAAGCATCCGGCTGTGGCTCAGGTCATGATCCCAGGGTCATGGGATGGAGCCCCACATTGGGCTCCACACGGAGCATGGAGGCTGCTTGGGATTTTCTCTCTCTTTCTTTCTCCTCTGCCTCTCTCTCCCATTCATGCTCTCACTTTCTCGAAACACAATCATAAAAAGAACATTCTGTCACATTCCAGAACATGGATATACTTGGGGCCATAAGAACTGACAGTTTTGGGGCACCTGGGTGGCTCAGTCAACTTTGGACTTCGGCTCAGGGCTCAGGTCATGATCTCCTGACTTGTGGGTTTGGGCCCCACATCAGGCTCTGTGCTGACGGCTCAGAGCCTGGAACCTGCTTCAGGTTCTGTGTCTCCCTCTCTCAATGCCCCTCCCCCATTCTTTCTCTGTTTCTCTCTCAAAAATAAAGCAGCATTTAAAAAATAAAAATAAATAAACAAAATCAACTGAAAAAACCAAAGGGCCACCTCCCGTCTGGCCCCTTGCTTCAGGCTTCATGAGGGCGGGAGGCCTGGAGGGAGGCTGCACCCGAGCCCTTGCTTCCTGGGCTCTGCCGCTGGCTCACAAGTCGATGAGGCTGCCAGTCAGACCCTTAGGACAAACCCTACTAACTTTCGCAACTTGAGCCCATCGTCCCCAACTGTGAGCAGGCCAGAGTCAGTGGACTTGAGGCCCGGGGCCTGAGCAGGGGAATGGGGGCTCTGCTGATTTTTTCCTCCGGAGCCAAGAAGGGGTGTCATTCAGGGGCTGCGCTGTGCTCCCGAGCCAACCTCCGTCCCCAGCGGCACCTCCTGTCCTGCACAGCCCAGGTCCCAAGCCTTCCTGGCCCAGCCCTGCCGGTCCCCCTAAATGCCTCCGGACTCTGACCCTTCCGCCATCTCCCTGATCCCCTCACCCCTCTCCGCCTCCTCCCTCCCTCTCTTCTCGCACCACAGAGAACTCTAAACACTTGGCTCTAGTCTCTCCTTTGCCTCAAGCTCTCGCCCAGCTCGCACGGAGTTCGGAGTTCGGGTTCGGGGCTGCAGCCCTGGAAGGCCCAGCTGACCCGGCCTCTGCCAGGCCACGCCCCCCATAACCACGCGCAGTAACCGCGAGAAGACCTGAGGGGCTCGCGTACACCCCGGCTCCCTGAGGAGCCCCCAACCCCTCCCTCGGTGCCCCCCAGACCTCTGGGGCCCGGCCCAAGCACATCCCCGCTCCCCGAGGAGCCCCCCAACCCCTCCCTCGGTCCCCCCGACGAGACCCAGGACCCGGCACGTGTACACCCCTGCTTCCCGAGGAGCCCCCCAACCCGTCGGATCTTCCCAAGACAGGCTCCGCACTTCCTGCGGGTCTCCAGAGACCCCCTCCCGCCGCCCTGCCCGCGAGGCCCCCCCACCCCGCCTCGACGCCCGCTCTCGGCGTCCCTCGTCCGCTCCGCGACACCAGCGCCGGGCTCAGCTCGCCCCCGCCGCGTCCCCGCAGCGCCTGTCAGCTCGGCCGCGGGGCACCGGGCCACGGCGCCGACCAGCGAGCCCCGGGGCTGCACACCCGCCCCGCCGCCGCCGCCGCGCGAGCACACCCCCGGTGCCGCCGGCCACCCTCCGTGACACACTGCCACGGAGTCCCTTCGCCGCGAGGACAGCGCTTCCGGCCAGCTGGCTTCGCGCACCCCACTTCGGAAGGTCGCGCCCCGCACCCGGGGGAAGCAAAGGAAATGAGAGCGGCGCGACTCGCACCCCGACCCCTCGCGCGCCCGCGCCTCACAGACAGCTCGGGTCCGCGCGCTCGGGGTCCCAGGGAGTGCCCTGCGCCCCCGGCCCCACGCGCCCGGGCCAGGCCGGCCGGGGCGCGCCCGCGGCTTTCACCTCAGCCGCCGCGCCCCGCGGCTCCTCGCGCCCGCCGTGCCCGCGCTCCGCCGCCTCTCCACAGCGCGCGGCGCCCGCAGCCGGCCGCGCGACCGTTAGCGCACGCCCCGCCCCTGACGGCCTTCGCCCCGCCCCGCACGCCGTCCTCCTGTCCGGCGCCCCGCCCACCACCCTGGCGCATGCTCCGCCCAGCCTTTGGCTCGGACCCCGCCCCGCTCCCTAGGCCGCCGGGAGGGACCCCGCGGTCCCGCTCCAGCCCCGGCGGGTGAGGGGCGAGACTCCGTGAGACCAGAGCGCGAGTGGCCCCTGGCTCTGCCATTCCCGCGGGGCCCGAGCGGGCGGCCCAGGCCCGCGGCGGCCCGGACGGCAGGCACCTGTGGGAGCTCCGCGCGGAGGCCCCCCGGGAGGAGGGCGCGGGCGGCCCCCAGGCGCTGTGGCCCTCATGGGGGCGGCGGCGACCGGACAAAACTTGCCGGCGCTTCGTGATTTTAATTACCACCGTTTGAAAATCCTTGTAATCTAATGACTTATAAACTAACTGTTACTAGAGAGCTAATCAGGGGCGAACGAGTCAAGATCCAGCAACTAGAGCCGTTAAATTTGTCACCAACTTCTGTCCACGTGTACCGTTATTTAAATTGTTGAATTTCTCTCTTTTAAAGGAGAAACACCTTTGGTACTTACTGTACAACCGCGGCTCCGCGGCTTGGGCGCCGCCTTCGGCTCAGGTCCTGATCTCACCGCTCTTGAGTTCGAGCCCCGCGTCGGGCTCTGTGCTGACAGCTCAGAGCGTGGAGCTGCTTCAGTTTCTGTGTCTGCCTCTCTCCCGCGCATCCTCTCTTTCTCTCAAAGAGAAATAGGCATTAAAAAAATTAAAAGAAAAAGAAAACTACAACATCATAGGCAAGTTTTGTTACCATCCCAACATAGCTTTCACTTTTCCGCATTTGTTAGGTTTTTTTCCCAAGTAACAATCAAAAGCCAAATAAAGTACCTGCACGCCCACCACGTCAAATTTAATAGAGAAAGCTTTTTAAAATTGTCCATATACCTTTCAAGTCTTTGGCTTTAAAAGAACATATCTTGATCTTTCTAAAAGAATGAACTGACATGTTAAGTCAATTCTAAAGGGAAAGAAAGTCTGAAAATGGCATGCATGCATTGTTCATTTGAGCCTCAGTAGGGGAGTCATACTTTAAACTTTTGTTTGTATTTGTCAGATTTTAGTAAATTACTCTTCGTTGAAAGCTATCTGAGATTAAGCAAGCACAGGCAGCCTGCGACACAAAAGGCTTTTCATAAGACGCTGCTTGGAAACACGAGCCTAAAACACTGGGATTGTTTGATGTTAATAATGAGACTGGGACCCTCTTGTTGTGAAAAGAATTCACTTCATCCATTTCTATAGCAATTCTGTGAACTTGGCTTGTTCTTAACAAGCGAATTGACTCGTCGATACATTTTGGATGGATGTGAACAGACACAAGGCTTGCCGCTTGATGAAGAAGTCGAGGGTGAGCGAGCGAAGGTCAGAGGTGAAAGAGCTTGCGTGTCTGGCTAAAGAAATGGCATGAGGCTGTGCCCATCACTTCCCCAGAGCATGCCAGCTGTCAGACCATCTTAGGAGCATGTCACAGCGGAGTGACAAGAAAAATATATAGTAATCAACTTTACACTTACTCATCGGGAGGAAAAGATCAACAATTATTTTAATGAATTACAACACCACCTTTAATTTATTTAACTACAAAATAGCTTTCCTGAAGTTGCTTCTGTGATTACAGTATCCATCCCAGGAGCAGCAATACTGAGTGATCAATTGCTAGTCTCACTCCCCACTGCTCTGTCCGCCCAGGGAGCAGCCAACATGGAAGCAGATTCTAGATGTGCGAACATTACAGATACTTGTTTAAGTTTTTACACACATTTGTCTGGAGAAGAGCGAGCAAGGTAGCCCACGAATGGGACGGAAACA